AGTTTTGATAACCTTTGACAACCCACAGAGTCATTAGTAACATGTGTCTGCATAGACCCTTTAAAAAATATTTTGGCGGTATCTGTGCTCACGAGCCCAGTCTTTCTTGACTATATGGGAAGCTGATGCTACTATAGCTTGCCATGCTATATGGAGTCCTTTCCAGTGCTAATTCCTTTGAAAATTGAACTTCTCAGTGTGCTGCCACAAGGCAAATGTGGAATCTGCCTATAGAAAAGCATGGGGGCATTTTCCCAAAGTAATTGATTTGTTCATGGTTTCTTTTTGGATTCCTGTTGATGGCTGACTGCAGCAAAGAAATCTTGTTTTAACTTCCCAGGACTCCCGTGTTATATTAGCAGTTCTTTTGGCTTTTGAATGCCGCCTTGACCTCCAAGCTTTTAGGCTGGGAATAAAGCACATTGCAACTAGATTATGCTTTCCTTATTATTCTTATTGTTGTTATTATTATTTATTACATTATGGCTCTTTCAGATGAATAGACTGAAATTGATTTGGGGTGGGGAGAAGAGAAGTAGAATGAAAGGAATGTTTCAGTTTCCTAAGGGAAAATGGATTGTGCTATATGGTTTTTAACTGTTTTTAATTCTTGCAGCCATTGCCTGCTTTCTGTAAAGAAGGCAATCTATGTGCTTGGGGGTGACTGCAAGGGTGGTTTATAGCTTCCCATGCCTCAGCTTTACAGAGTAACAGAAGTGATACAGGCAGTGCTGCAGGCAAAACCTTTTATGTTTTAACGGAGAGTGTTATCTGCTTTAAAAATGTCAAGATTAATACAGTGATCCAAAAAAGCAGGGCTTCCATTAACCCTCCCCAGCAAGGAGTGGTCCCAAGACCTCAGTGACTCTTTATTAGAGCAATGGGGTTTCCCCATAAGGCATCATTTGTTATATTACTTCCACCTTGTAAATTACATTTTTTTTATTATTCTCCCCTGGCAAGCAAAAACAAAAAAATGTAAGCAGGATAGGTCTCTGAATTGGGAGATTGCTGGAAAAAATACAGGAGGAGTGCATTAGAAGCCTTTCTAATTAGCTTAGGGAAGCAGTGCAGACCTTTTGAAGGGGGAAAGTGTTCCGCAAAAGTATGCAAAAGACTTTTATGAGGGACCTTGGATCAGCTGCATCAGGATTCTTTCTGTCTGGCAAGTTAAGTGCACTTGGAAAAGCTCAGGATTTGTCTCCTATTTTCAGGCGAGGTGTGCTTTCTTACATTTTGGAAAATATCATGTCATTGACTGTTTGTTTATTTATATAATGCTAAGCACACTGCTAGTGCTCATCAAAACATGTCTTTATTCTGCCTCCTTCCTTTCCCCAATTCAGAGGTGCTTTTCTGTCAGTGGTAGAAACTGTGTAATGATTAATATTTCCCCTCATCTGGAAATACACCCTGATCTCTGATCTTATCAAAGGTTAAGACAGGGACAATGATTTTCAAGCAGTGTTGAGGGAATAAATCCGCAAAGAAAAGAGAAGTACTGTGCAGTCAACATCTGAAAGCCTAAAAAATATTCCTTAATAACTTCTTTAGCAGGCATCAGTCTCTCTTCACTCTCCTTTTTTGAGTAATTTTAATTGAAATCCACAGGACTGAAGCCCAGGCAGTGTTTTGGCAACATCTGCCTTCATTAGGGCATATACAAATAAACATATTCATGCCCTTATACATGTCATGATAGCTATAACATAGTCATGACACAAACCCTGCCCATCTGATGTAAAATAGTAATAGAAATGTAGCCATGTTAGTCTGGTGTAGCAGAAGCAAAATACAGGACTATGTAGCACTTTAAAGACTAACAAGATGGTTTATTAGATGATGAGCTTTCGTGGGCCAGACCCACTACTTGATCTGAGGAAGTGGGTCTGGCCCACGAAAGCTCATCATCTAATAAACCATCTTGTTAGTCTTTAAAGTGCTACATAGTCCTGTATTTTGCTTTATCTGATGTAAATGATTCATACCTCTTGTAATCCCTAATTGATCAATTATACATTTATCTTTAAATCTCTTTCTAGGTTTTTATACTTATCCCCTCTCTGTGGTAACTGTGCCTCTTACAAAATTGAATGTCTGGGTGGTGTACAGAGATCTGATAATATTCTTTAACTATTCCATACTGTTTGTATCATGGTAGCATCCACATTGTGCTAGGCACTGTGCCCGCACCTCAGCTGTCATAATTCAGACTTCAAAGGAGCTATGTTGATTTAGGCCAACTGAAGATCTGATGCATGATGTCAGTGCCTGCCCCAGAGAGCTCACAAACTTAGAGGAAAACTAGACAATAGACAAAGGGCCAGCGTCTCTGCTGGAATATATTAGCTTTAATGATATTGATCGTCTCTAAGTCAGTTACCTGTTATCAATAATCTTATAGCTGGAGTTGCATATTAAAAACTGTTACACGTTTCCTCTTATTTATCTCTTCACTATCAATAAAATATTTAATAGTTAATGGATAAACCCACCCTTAGCCAGGCAATCCAGGTTTAATACTCATGATTTTTTCATCAATAACCAATTGTTATATTATATTAAATATATTCTTGTTTTCAACAAATGTCAATTAATTGCTGAACTAATTATTGGTTTCCCATCACCAACAATATCATTTTTTAAATTGGAAGAGTTATTAAGTGGCCAGGGCATAATAAAAATACATACTCTCTAACCCCTGAATTAAATGAAAAGATCATAGTGACAGATACTGAAGTATAGCAAATAGGCCACTCTCTAAGGGCATGTCTACACTAGGAATTTTTTTCAAAATAACAATTTCGAAATAGCATGTCCACAAGGAAGCCTTAAAATTAGTCTGAGGCAGATTCCCTTAATGTGGATGTGCTACCTTGTCTTAGAGCTCCAGGAAGCCCTGGGGAGTAATTACTTTGAATGACTCTGGGGAGAAGTTATTTCGAAATAGCGGCAGTGGAGCATCCACACCACCTTTATTTCGAAATAAGTGTTATTCCTCATGGAAATCAGGAGTTATTATTTCAAAATAACCAGCCCCTGATTTTGAAATAATGGGCTTGGTAGTGTGGACACTCCGCTTGTTGTTTCGAAATAAGGGGAGTTGTTTCGAAATAACTGTCTAGTGTAGATCAGGGCCCCGTGCCCACCTTCTTTCTAATTAAAATTGCTACAATTACCTGGACCCAGGGAGGTGGGGGAGGAGAGAATTTATGGCAGTGTTAGGTCTCTTTGTGGAGCTTTGGAGCATGGCCTTTAAAAGGGCAACTGTTATATAGTCAGCATGTTGATAATTATAGAATCTGAAAACAAGATGTGTGGTTGGATATGTTATCTTGGATATTAATACCCCTGAAAAGCTCAGTTGAGAACCAAGCTCTTTATGACACTTCCCTTATTAATGTATGAGTGAGTAGAAGCACACATTTTCCCAAGACTAATGATACTTAGCAATTTGTGGGGAGGAGTTCAAGTGACCCAGGCGTTAGGACCAGGTGATCATAGTCCCAAACTGAGGTCATAGATAGGCATCTTTAGAAACACAGTGGTAGGAGCAGGAGGGGAAAGGAAAAGCAGCATGGCACCACAAAGTACCAGTCTCAGCAGTATAGACAAGAAGCCAGTTGCCTGTTCAAAGACTGCCAATGACCTTTTAATTCTTTCGTGAAATGAAAAAGGACATCCCTGTGAGCACTGCACTTTGCTGCTTCAGCAAGACAAGCTGTTTATTTTATTAAAACACATTCCAAAAGGTTCTCTGTCCGATTCAGGCTTTTCACTGCAGCATGTTGTCACTGAGCAACGTATGTGAGACTCGAATAGACAATTTTGGGGATGGGAGGCGGGAGGGGGGAGGGGGAAAGATGCTTCAGTTTGGATTAAGCCTTTTGTCACCGCAATCCCCTGTCACCCAGAACTGCCACATTTTAAATGCATCCAGCAAGCTGATGTGCAGTAGCTCTGTATTCCTGAAAAGCCATACAGGTCCCCTTTGCAGCATGTTGTCTGTGCTGCTCAGGGTACCTGCAGGGATTATAAAATTCAAAATCCTCCATTTTATACAAAGGAGGAGCAAGGCCATTCTGTGACAGAGTAAATACTGAGGAAGGGTTGGAGGACAGGCAGAGTGGTTTTTGTCTCTTGTCTTTCACAGCATCCCTATTTTAAACAGCCATCATTTGTTCTGCTGTGGACAACATTAGCAATTTCTGTGACATGTATTTACTGTTTCATTGACATGTGTTCATTCCAGCTGCTATTGACTTAACTGAGGTGACACATTATTTAGGTACCTATTTAGGATTCTGGCATCCTCTGCATGTTGCTTGAGATTCTTTCTTCAGCTTCAGTCAGTCATCAGGCAGCTGTTTGCATCTCTCTCCTGGAATTTGATTCAGATTCCAGTTCTATTACACAGAGCTAGGATGAAACAAACCTAGCCTGACACTGAATGTTTGCCATAAAAATTGACTCTTGGATGATTCATACAGGTGACACTGTATGCTACTACAGTACGTAAGTAAGATTCTTTGATTTCAGTTTTTACTAATTTTCACCAAAATTTTCCTAGTTTTACAAAAACTATTTGATTTTTGCCAGTGTTTCTCCTGAACTGTGAATGCCGCTTGGTAACCTGGCGAACCTAGGGGAACCTGTGAGGCGAGCCCCACTTCATACCTCTCTGCCTGCTCCAGAGGGAAAAGCAGAGTGGCCCCGGAAACCTAGCCACCCTCTCTTCTTCCAGAGAAGTAGAAGTGGAGGAGGCAGCATAAGAAGATGGTTCCTTCATAGCATTAAACTACATTTACATTCCATGGTCTTTCCTCTATTTTTCTGTCTTCTCTCCTTTCATCTCTCAGTATTAACCCCAATATTTACCTCAAAACTGTGAAGTTACATTTTGGCACTGATTTCTTTTTGCCCATTTTTGCATTAAATACAGATAAAATCTCACAACATTTTAAAACAAAATACAGACCCACAAGGAAGTATTTAGTGTCCTTGGAATTTAATCTGTGAACCCAGTCTGTCAATCCCTGAACATAGCAGAGGCTATGATGGCTGTGGAGGCAACACACATGCTCTGCGCTGAGGGAAGGGTTTCTCATGTATCCAGTGCTGGATGCTCTGGCTGATTCAAGAAATACAAAATCATTGGTAAAATTATGCCATTGACATTTTTAGTACAGGTTGAACCTCTCTAGTCTGGTTCTCTCTGGTCCGGCAACATCCATGGTCCAAAAGCGACGAGGAGTCCTGTGGCACCTTATAGACTAACTGAAGTGTAGGAGCATAAGCTTTCGTGGGCAAAGACCCACTTCGTCAGATGCATGTAGATGCACGAAGACCCACTTCGTCAGATGCACGAAGTGGGTCTTTGCCCACGAAAGCTTATGCTCCTACACTTTACATGCATCTGACGAAGTGGGTCTTTGCCCACGAAAGCTTATGCTCCTACACTTCAGTTAGTCTATAAGGTGCCACAGGACTCCTCGTCGCTTTTGCAGATTCAGACTAACACGGCTACCCCTCTGATACTTGACATCCATGGTCCAGCATGTCCACCTATCACAAGTGTGGCCAAATTTCTTGTGGGGCCATAAAGTTTGTTTACAGCCACCAGTCCTGGCTGTCAGTGTTCTGTGCTGTTATTTAGTTCTAATTTACCCCTAAATGTCCTCTAACAGCCCAGTAAGCAGTGGAAGTGTTGGTAACGCTGCTAGACAATATTGACTTTCCGTGGTCTGTCAGATTCTCTGGTTTAGCATCGGTCAGGTCCCAAGGGTGCATGACTAGAGAGATTCAATGTGTAGCATAAGTTTGCTCAAGTCTGAAAATGTTGTTCCTTTTTGATTAAACATTGACCATTGTATGCGAATGCAGCATGATTTTTAAAAAGTTGATATATGCCAGTTTTCCTTTTCTTGGACTGCTCAAAAAGATAAGAGGGTATTAGCAATTGGGAACCTGTGCTTCAGACAAAGGTTAGTAGTGTCACCTTTCTCAGCATGCATTCCCCTCTGTATAAAGACCAAGAGGATGATATTTATTATTTACAGAGGGAATGCTGTGTAGTGATAAAAGAAGTGGGCTTGGGACTTCTTGTTTCTGATCCTGGCTGTGCTGCTGACTTGCATTCTCACCATAGGCCAGGCTGTGTGCATGGCAGACTGGCAAACTAATTTCTACCTAGCTCACTGAAGTGCTTTGAAAGCTTAATGAAGGCATTGTAAAGAAGTTGGAGATTCTCAGCTGAACGTCATTAAGGAAGAGCATGGTATAATTATAATTTTATTCAATTTGTTATTTTGTTTTCACTGCATTTTGGAAAGCTTAATACAATACTCTAGCTATAGCAATATTATTTAAGAATTATTTTTGTACATTTTCAGGTACCCAAAGTTAGGCCCCTAAATCCATATTTAAGCACCAAAAATGTGGGCTAATTTCCAAAGTTCACGAGCACAAACAATTCTTGTTGAAGGAAACAGGAAAGCAATATCAGGCTACTTAGGGCGGAGATGGCCAACCTGCAGCTTGTGAGCCGCATGAGGCTCTTCAAAGGAAAAATTGCGGCTCCCGCACCCGCAGCTCTTCTCCCAGTCCCCTGCTCTGACCTTTTTTCCTGGTCTAGGCAGGGCGCCGCTTGGCGAGATCTGTTGCTGCGGCCAACAACAACTTCTTTCCTTTGGCTCTTTGTGCTATATCCACCACTATTTTGGCTCTTCGTCTGTAATGAGTTGGCCGTTCCTGACTTAAAGTGTGTTTACACTGTGGCTCTAGCTCGAAATAAGCTATGCAATTGGAGCTTGCAAGTTGCACAGCTTATTTCAAGCTTATTTTGAGATCGTTTATTTCAAAATTTGGCACTGTGTAAAATTGATATAGACTGCTATTCCGACAAGTCGCTTAATCCTTGTGGAACGAGGTTTACTAGGATGTCAGAATAGCGCATCTGTTATTTCGATTGCATTTCTAAATAACGGGCGTGGTGGAAAGACACGGAAAACATTATTTCAGGATACCAGATGTATCCTGAAATAGTGCTTTTTTATCAGATGCCTTAATTTCGTACCTGACTTTAAGCACCAACATTTAAAAAACGTGTATCATTATTTCTGATGTGACTTTGTAAAACAAGCTTTCCCTTCATAACTAACAAAAATTACCAAATAATCAAAGCTGCCAATGCAAATTACAACTTATTGGGTGGGAAAAAATCAAGAAAACAGATGATTCTTAGGCCTGTGTTTATGCCATATCCTCTATGAAATTATTGCAACAATATTTAATAGTCTGTGTGCGAAAGTGGTCTTGCACAAGAACAAACACTGACGAGTCAGACCAGTGTTTCCAAGATCTAACATTAATTAACCTAACAAGCTGCACAGGCAAGACGATATTCTCTTTACTCTATTTTGAGCACATACACAGTACTCTCCATTGGCAGAACGGAAAATAGGTGGAGGGGGAGCGATTGCTCCCCCTTAGGTATATGTATGGTGCCTTTTCAAACATATTGTGCAACTGACAGAAGGTGATATGACACACAGACTTTCATGTGGCTGTAGAATGAGCCTGCCCTCCACTCATCCAGCAGCGGTGGCTTCAGGCCTGGGGGTTGGAAGTGGGGCCAACTTTCTACTCCAGGTATTGCCACATGACATGAGTTGCAGCCCCTTGTGCCAGGTTTCAATGCCCGTAATGGGGATCTGGGCCCAGCTCTATGGGACAGGACCTACCATGCCCAGGTAAGTGCAGTATGGGCTTGTTCGTTAGCCTGAATCCCATCCACTGCCCATCTCAGTTGCAAATTCTGGCTCCATCACTCATACTATCAGGACCTGAGAAGAATATCTTGCTTTTAGGATGATAGCTTGTCCATGTAGCCATCTCTTAGGTAGAATAATTCTCTCTCTTCCAGAGCTTCAGGGAGTAGCCAAGTTAGTCTGTTACATAAAAAAACAACAAATGGTCTGGTAGCACTTTATAGACTAACAAAACATATAGATGGTATCATGAGCTTTTGTAGGCACAGCCCACTTATCTAACTTGCTGTGAATCCATTTTCACTGCTTCTTATTATAAAAAAAGCAATTCATCTCATTAGAGAACATGTGTCTAATTATGGCTTGTGAATGCCTATGATTATTTTTTTAAACAAAGTCTAGTTTATTTTGCATGTACAGAGTAGGCATCATTATCTAGCAACAAAGGAAGGGAATTGGCACAGAAACCCTGAGTCATCTTCTAGACTCCATCACTGAGTCAGTCTATGACCTTGAGCAAAACACTCCGCATCCCCAAGCCTCAATTTCTCAGTCTGTAAAATGGGGCTAATATGCCCATCTTTTGTAAAATGCTTTGATATCTTTATGGGAAAGGCACTGTGTGGTATTATTATTATTTATATTATTGTAGCACCCAGGAGCCCTCCTCATTGTACAAGGTACTTTACAAACAAAGGAAAAAAAGGGAGTCCCTGTATCCAAGTGCTTACAATCCAATCCTATGATATTTATATTGAGGTGCTCAGCACACTATTTGCAATGCATATTTTCTCTTAAATGTAAAATATCTTGCAATATTTATTTTGTTTACTTGCCCGTTTGTAATGGTTTAACTAAATAGATCCACCACAGTCTTTAGGAGCTTGAAGTCAGTAGTAACTTGCAACACACCAACCATGTCAATCTGAGCTTTACAGATTTTTGCCATGGCAGTGCACACAGTAGTAAGCTCCAGGCTTGACTGGAGTGCTGCACCATACCTAGGAATAAAAACACAAGGCTTAAAGCCCATCTAGTTCAAAACACAGCAAGCACTTACTCAGCAACACACACATCCAAAAGTCCATTAGCTCCTTGCTGCTTCCTATATTGTGCTGGGACAGATGCAAAGGTTTGGTCTTCCCCTTCAAACCATCCCTGAGACTGGTCCAAGTTACCTGAGAGATTACTTCATAATGTGATTATGATCTCCCATGGCAGCTACCAAGAGATTATTAATATACAAAGTTGAGGCTTGTGTGTACAGGATCTGAGATGACCTTGGTAACTGACTTATAATTGTGGAAATCACTTCCAAAAGACATCTGAGTGACTGTGAGCCTTGAAAATGAAATCTATAGCCCATTTCTTCAACCTAACTTTCCTATACTTGCCACTTCTACATGTACTTAAAAAGCAGCTCACTCCCTATACAATGGTGAAGGACAGTGAATGAGAGACAGAGATCTTCTTGTGTTCACTGTAACAAATGTATTAGATGCTGAGGTACCACAGTAGATCATGATATTCAGTGGCCTGGATGAAGTGAATTAGTGGTCTCAGTCCTGTTTTTTATGGACAAAGGTGCACATCAAACAAATCACTAGTGTTGGCAGTATCAGCACAGAGGGCGAGGATTTCAAACTAAGCTGGACAACACACTGGAAAATGTACTTTAAGGGAACAGGATGAACTAGAAAAACAAATATGGGGAGTTCTTTCAATATCTCAATAGATAGCTCAATTTTCGTATCTTCTCAGACACCGAAATGCCTAATTTATCTTATTATGAGACTGAGCACGTTCATTGGCCTGATGAAGTGCATTCTTTACCTATTCAGTGGAGAGAGGACTTCAGCTCCCTGGCTAAGATTTAACGGCTTCAAAAGTTATGTATAAAGATGTATATGTTGGACATAGCGGTGATAGAAAAATCTGGGGTTTTTTCAAAGACCAATTCTATTTCTATATTGTGGCAAATTTAAATGGCCTGCTAGCAAATCTACACAACTGATGCTGAAGCATATTGTGTTATATCTACAATTCCTTTCAGCACTATTTCAGTGATATCCAGCTGAACCGTTTCCTCTAAATGTAGGGCTATGTCTACACTTGCCAGTTATTTTCAGCAATAACGGCATTGCGCAAGAGGGGTTTTCTTGCGCAAGAAGGGGTAATGTAGACAGCTCCTTCTGGCGCAAGAGCCTCTTCTGCAAAATGGCGGCTCATTAGGTATGCAAATAAGGCTCGGCAATATTCCACACTTAGCCTCCTTTGCATATTTCTGGCGCAAGAAGCCACGAGTGTAGACATAGTCTTGATGTCCTGGTGGCATTATAAAGTGGACCTCCAATATCTCAGAATGTGATGTTGGATGGATAAAATGCTTTCCTGTGAGCCATTCCCTCATAACATCACACAACGCATTTGTCATGATGCATGTGTGGTTGTTAACTTTAGCTGCTTCAGAGAAAAATGTTTGATGCAAGTTCCCCACCTATTTATGCTTTAAGCCAGGGGTTCTCAAACTTTGTGATACCGCAACCCCCCACTAAGTTGCTCGTGACCCCCCAAGGGATCGGGACCCACAGTTTGAGAAATGCGTCTTTAAGCAAATTTGCCATGAAAGCCAGACCTCCTTTCTTATGTTGCTAAGTTGTTTTTTTCTTATAGATACAGTACTGGTGTCATTTGGTCACATTGTGTATCTCTATGGGAGATGTAAATGGCTGAGCCCACTTAAACTGTACGGCATGTAACCCTGGGCACATATCAGTGATTCCTTTATGTTGAGTATTATCATACCAGATGATTTATTCCCATGCATCATTCACATCAATTGTACCACAGGTCCATCAACAATGCTATAATCACCAGACCTGATCACTTCCTGGTGACCAAGAAACAGCCTGTCCACATAAGAAATAGAGACCTGTCTTACTCTGAGATATTCCCAAAGCCAGTGTAAGAACCACTTTCCCTATAGTCTGTCTAGCATAAAACACACTGGAAGGATCTATTAGTTTTTTGGGGGGAGGGTGTCTCTGGTTATTGGTTGTTTTTTGTAATTTCTAAAAAAAAAAAAAGCTTGCTCAGCTCAAATGCAACATCTGGGTTTTTGGTGACTTTGACTCCTTTTTTGCAGTAGCTGCACTCACTCAGGTCATAATAAGACCCACTAATCTGTGATAGGGAAAACCTCAAGAGATTTAATAGATCGAGATACTCTGTGAGACTCCTGAGTCTGGAAAAAATTAAGTTGGACATCTGACAATACCAGCTTATCTCATGAGATTTCCAGCACACACAATTCTGGTTCCAGTCAGAATCTGGAAATGAAAAGTAAGCAGACATTTGCAGAACTACAAAATGTGGTGTGGTTCTACTTTAGTGCTACAAATGAGCAGTAGTTTTGGAGAGGTTCTTATCAGCAACATGTCCCAAAGATGCATGGAGAATCAGTGGCATAACCTGCCCTAGAAGAGACAATAAGCAAAAAGAATACAATCTAAGTTGTCTGGAGCCAAGAGTGAAAATACAATTTTAGAGACATGGAGTTACAAGACATTAGTAATTCATTATGTTTATTATTACTAAACAACACAGTTTACTAAGCCAGCCTAGGGTAAGCTACGATCACAGCTGATTAGGGCTGTGTTTCTGACACAGGAATTATAGATTTTGTGGCTCTGGGGATTTTTTCACA